TAAATCATGACAAATGTGCAATCTCTTCAAAGCAATCGTATAAATAACTGTAAGTGACAATGTTAATGATTGATATTTTAAATTTCTAAAAAAATTAAAATATTATACGTTTAATTTGTTTAGTAGATCACAGGGAGATCCTCGATAATTTCTTTCTTTAGTTGTATCTATAGAACTCTCAAAATGTCTAGTTTTTTTCTCTTTCTTATAAATAATCTCCTCTTTTTTAACAAGCGTTCTCACGCGGACATCAAAAAGTTATCTTTTAAAATATTATGCGTCATTTAATTCGTTCAGTCACAAGGAGATCCTCGGGAATTTCTTTCTTTAACTCTATCTATAGAACTCTCAAATGCCAAATTTTTTTCTTTTTCTTAATATGTAAGTGTCTCGCGCGAGTAAAAAACCAATCGAAAAAAACTCAACGTATTCGCAGATTCGAATTTCGAACAGATGTTCCTGGAATACTGACTCTATTGTTTCATTGTGTTACTTATTTTAATAGGTGTTCTCGCGATTAAACAAACCAGGCGAAAAATGTAACATATTCTTGAGTGATGATCAAATAGAATTTCAAATAAATAAATAATGTTCAACCAACGTTCCTGGAATTTTGATATAAATATTTCATTACCTCTGCTGCTTGGAATCCCCCAAAAAAATTTGCACTTAAAAGGAAATAAATATATATTCGGACGTTGAAGAGAAAAAGACAGCAAAGACACTGAATGCGAAAGGTGCAAGCAATGCGAAAAGACCTATTCTCTTTCGCCTTCTCAAACACCATTAACACAGCACGGCATTTCATCGGTCCGTAAACAACTTCTGTGCTCGCAGTTACATCTATTCACATTATTTTTTTCGACGCAAGGTCCTCGAAACGGAAGAGTGGGAGCGGACGACGTGCGTGCGGTATGGTATCCACCCCTCTTCTCGGCCTCCCTATCGGCAAGGTGGCACAGGTGACTTCGTCGTTCCACGATCGAGCCGCGATCACTCGTAAAGCTCGCGTTCGAACAGCCGGATAATTCGGAGATCGTGAATATATTCGATATAGCCCGTGTCGTTCCTTCAACCGACCGAGACTCTATTACTATCTCGGAAGAGAACGTCTTCGATAACTCGAATAATTCCCATCGAGACTACAGTGAAATTTCCCAATGACGATCGCACAAATGCGAACGTGATCCACGATCAATCGTCCAAGTACCAATATAGAAAGAAAGCTACGATCGGGATACGAAAGAATTAAACCTGCTTGACACTTCTTCGGTCGTATCTGTTGGAGGGGCGAAATGGGGACATTTGTGAGAATTTGGGCAATTTTCAGTCTGATCGGTCTGTCGCGTGCCGAGTCACCGGTGGAAATCTTAACATCCTCGAACAGTCTCGGTACCTTTGAGGAGGAGGATATACTCCGCGTATTTTCGCGTAACAAGACCGACACAACTAAGAACTTCACTTTCGTCGAGCTGATCAGTAGCCTCGGTAATTACACGATCGACACCGAGAAAGTTATATGGAGTGACGACAGGCCGGAAGTGCATCACACGAATCCGCACTATGGTAAGTGATAGAGCTATTAGACGGTCTATTCTTACAGAAAACAGTAGAATATCTATTTCGTAATGAATTTGTAACAAATTGTGAAATTTAGTTTGAAATTATCTAACATTTCGCCAGACATACTGTCTAGAGATAAAATTGTATTTTGTAAAAATTAACATAAAAATATCGAAAGGTTGATGATTATTCATTCAATGATTATTCATTTCATTTGCTTTGAAAAACGATAGAATATTGACGATTTCAGTTTCGCTGACACCCTTTATACACCAGAGAATAGATTGCTTCGATTTAAAGAAATTTTCTTTGCTATATAATTAAAGAAAAAATTTTTTTGATTTATAAACAATTTTCTTTGATTTAAATATTATTTTTTTAATTAAATAAAATTTATTTGATTTAAAGAAATTATGTTCAAATCCAAGAAATGACTTTCAAATCATGATTTCTTGGATTTGAACATAATTTCTTTAAATCAAATAAATTTTATTTAATTAAAAAAATAATATTTAAATCAAAGAAAATTGTTTATAAATCAAAAAAATTTTTTCTTTAATTATATAGCAAAGAAAATTTCTTTAAATCGAAGCAATCTTTTCTCTGGGTGTATCTATCGTTAGATCGTTTTAATCCGAATATATTTTAATTTAATTTAAATATTAAACCAAATCGCGCAAAGACAAATCTTAATTTAAGTAAAAAATAAATGAATAAACAAGCGGTTTTCGTAAATGGTACATTTTTAATCAAGCAAATCATGCTCGCGTAGCAAACAGATAAATAATTTTAGATTTGTTGACGGACGTGTTGACAGGTTGCATCGACGCGGTGCATATCGCCATTTGTAGCACAAGCGTCGACTTCATCTTTCAAACATTAGTCGTTAACTATAAAATCCACTCGCGGTAATCAAAATTCACACCTTTCACGCGCTATAGACTCTCTTAATTAACAAAATGCTATTAACCTTCGATCAGGCACGTGGAATGGAGTAAATACCTATGCCTCTTGAGTACTAATAGTCAACTTCGACGATTCATTGAAATTTATGGTGGGGAGCTATATCGAGATTTTCTACGTGGATTAATACAGCAATGATCTGTGGATATTAATTTCCCTTGCGAGTTTGAAAAACGTGTAATCGCATTTTTATAAATCGAAGGCCGTCTATATATGCATTTATTCCAAGTGCGTATCGCACGGATGCCGATCACGTTGATTCACAAATGCGTAAGATTCGGAATATCGGCTGTGCCTTCTTTCGATTCTGAGAATGTCCAAACGACTACAACCAAGTCTCGACAGAAGAAGAAATTTCTTTGTCTTCAATAAATATAGTACTGTCGTGCATCTGCGATCTGATCGACTTGCATGAGTATGATCAAGAGTACCCCAACGGAGAATTCTTTATCGACGTATCGAATTCGAGCGGCAAGGAATGCATGTGTCCGCAGAAAACGTATTGACCTTAATTACTGTATTGATATACGTATATACTTTAATGTATCAGTTTCTCGGAAGCCACTGATAAGTCCCATTTTTTATAAATTCTTTAAATTATACACATGATTATTTTACAACCGAATCAATTTCTCATTTATGTTAATCGATTATTTTTTTACTTCATTGATCAATTGAAGAAAATTATACACGATAATTATGTATGTATACTCTAAAAAATGAGTGTGAACTTAATGTCATACATGCGGTGTTTGGTGTTTATAATTCTCACCGTATCGGTGTTGAAACGTCGCCGTTAAAACTTTCGGTGTTACATTCACAAATTTTGATTTTTATATCAACATTAATACGGTGAAAATTATCATATGTTAAACATGTTAAATTCATACTTATATTTTTTTGTAGAGTGTAGATTTAGTCACAATAATTTTTAACACTAAAACCGCCGATGATATCCCGCTAAAACTGTCAAAGATGTCAATTTGATAATTTCCTATTTCTTGTTTCGGTTAGTGAAAAATTATTTTGGTATTATTTCTATAAATTAGAATTATTTATATATAATATTATATCCACATATTTTCAATAATTTGTACTATAAGTATGCCTAAACGATGAAAAAAAAATTGAAATAATTATTAATTAGTGAAGTAAAAATGTCGATCATCGACAGTTCTAATGTTAAGTGACAGATATTATCAAAATTTATAAGATATCAAAGAAAGGATTGTCAATATTTTTACATGCACGATGTTCGAGAACGACTTTTAATGATAGTATCGTACGCATTGCATTAGTGCACGGAAGAACGTGACTGCAGTATTTGCAACATGACATACAAGTCTTAAAGATTTCAATATAGGAAATCACCTTACGAAAGGTCGATATTTCGGCATACTTTTAGTGGAAATTGTTATGTAAGTTATAGTAAACAACTATGCCATTCGGAAATATTAAGTCTAGGAATCCGTAATATACGTATTTTTATAATTTAAATTAAAATATAAAATGTTTCACGCTATATTGTGTATCTTTGTGATCCTTGTATTTAACCCTCCATCGACAATATGAATTTTTCGATTACAGTCTGCAATCTGGATCATTGAGATTATACAGCCGATTTCTTTCATCATTTCGGACTATATAAAAATCTGAAAGAATTCTTGTATACTTCTGAAACCTTTAACAAGTTTTTACTATAATAGAAGTCCAATTATATATTTTACAAATTTTTTTGCAAATTTAAATGTAAGTTTTTTTTTAATATTATATAACCATAATATTGGTTAAAAAATTTATAACTGTTATACAAGTAAATAAAAATCTTTTTATATAATGATATGTACTTCAGAAAAAAATAAAAATAAAAGTCTTTATACTTACACTGAAATTAATGTCAAAAAGATACGAAAAATTCTCAATTTTTTATTTATATAAAATCGTAGTTTATAATATAGTCACCAAGAGTATGGGCATGACGTCTATTCGTCCTTGCAACAAACAACTGGATACTGGCGTCCTTGTACGCACACAATTTCAACAAATTTTTACCAAGTTTTTTTAGATAGGCGAATCCTACTACCTATTTATGTTCTTAAAATTCATAATAAAAAACATCTATAAGAGTTAAAATCAAATTGCCGGTCGAGGGTCAACGTATGGATATATTATATTAAAAATATATAAAAATTACTAAATCACAATAAACAACTTATTATCATGTGGCAAAAATTTATGTCCCAGACTGGTATTTTCATAGTCGGTTCTTATTTTTAGATCGTCTTAAATAATGTCTTAAGATGTTAGTACGGTTCTGTAATTATGGTTTATGGTATCTTAAGACTTTACTTAAGATGACCTTAAATATATGAATATCGTTTTTAGATTTTCGGAAATAATTTCTAACGCGTTACAATTCCGCAGGACAGCTCATCAAAATAGTAATTAATATAATTTCATTCATATCTCTTAATAATTAGCTCAAATACTCATTATACGCATTTAGATCCGCTTGTATTTCCATTAATAATGTAAGTTAGTCACGCGACGAGAACGATTACGATGGTAAAAACATGTCTATGCAGAGTTTTTTAATTGACGAGCTTAGTATAGCTCAAGCTATATACGTTTATTTAGAAACCGGTTCTGTTAACCAAATTAATTGTGAGTGTAACTTATATACATAGATATGTCAAGAAAAAGGATACGGTATCTCCCGCTATATATTTTAATGACATTTGCCACAAAACGATTCACAAGCTACACTTGATGATCGTGACAAAAGTCACGTTTCACATTCAAAATTATATTGAAAGCGAATAGAGAATTTTTATTGTCATAATTACCGAATTCCTTCATCAGACGATATTCGATTTTGGTTTTTTTATCTTTTAATGTCTTTTTAATGAGAAGAATTTGTATTCTATATTCGTTTTAAATGATTACTTTGCTAATCCAAGATGTTTTTGCAGTAATGCACTGTAACGAGCTTGTCGGATATAACAATAAGCTATCACTTACAGTTCGATTATAACAATAATAAATAGACTTGTGTTACAATGTTATCTAATTGATTTAACCTTTAACTATTTGCACACGTAATGCCATTAAATAATATAATTTAACATTACACACTGCTGTATTAAGCGTGTGAGTCATGGATACGACATTATATCCGTAAAGTAAATACTGATTTATATAAGAGAGAATCAAAGTTTAAATTGAAATTTGATGATGGAGGAGGATATCCCCTATTAAACCTCCCTTCCAGAAAAAGATCTTTATTGAGTCTGTAAGTAGCGATTAGGAAATCCGGATTTTATCTAAAAATTATTTTTGGAATATTTACTTAAATATATTTTTTCAGATTATACTTTAAGTTATTTTAATAATATAGAATAGTGCGACAGCAATTGTTCAACATTTCTCAATACTGAAAAGATTATGACGGCTGTATTTTCTTCGATCTATTTACGCTTCACAGACTAAAAGAATGTTTATTAATTGTAAGATCATAGTAAGTGAATGTGTCTTTACTTTTTATATCCGATAAAATTTACCTAATAATAAGTATCGCAAGAATAGATACCAATAAAAAAATATTAAGAATTTTTGAAGAAGTTAAATAGAAATTTGCTATATTAAAAATTTTGAAAATTTGAAATACTCATCAGAGGCTCATATTTTTGCGGTTGAGTATATATATATAAAACATAAGAAATATAGATTTCTTGACAAATTTAGAAAATATTTATTTCGTGATCAATAACCTCCATCGATAAAAAAAGATTTTTCGAAAGATTAGATTTTTAGAGCGTTTTTCGAGGACTACAAAATTGACATTCAATTTCAATCATTATAACTAAAATATATTTCCAATTATACATATATATAATATATAATTGGAAATATATTTTTCATTTTGTTTTTAGTTTTATATCTGTTCTACATTTATGCCGAAATCTGATTCTCGATTATTATAGAACAGATATTTTATAAAAAACAAAATTAAACGGTTCAAAGAACGAGTTTAAATGTCA